CAGGCCCAGTGTTAGGATCTGAGGCAAAGTCCAATGCTCACTTCCCTCACCTTCCACCAAGTAGAGAGAGTCTCTCTCCATGCTGTGCTGCCTGGGGGTGTGGGAGAGGTGATGTGGGTCACATAAAACTGTTTTTCCTGCTCTCTTCAACATGCCTTTTCTTATTTTTGTGCTACACCCTGATGCTGGGATTTCTCATCGGGTTTCCTAAGCTCTTGTGAAGGCATTTTCGTGGGTGGATAGTTGTTCAAATTGATTTTCTGCATGGGAGGTGAGCGATGCAATGTCCTATTCCACCATCTCGCTGATGTCTTATTTCTTAAACCACCCTGTGTCTTTTATGGTGAATTTTGCTTTTTGAAATTGACATTGCATGAAAACGTTACAACCCAAGGGTTTCATTATTCCTTAATTTGTCAGCCATACTCCTTTTGTTGAGTCCTTGGGCTGTTTCTAAATTTTGTAGTCTTAAAGGATGTTGAAGAATTTGACACACCACATTTTTCTTTATCAGGATTATTTCTTTAGGATTGACACTTGACAGCAAAATCACTAGATGGGAAGTAATGAACATTTCTTAGAATTATGCTTTATGTTGCCAAATTGTTTGCTAAACATGTACTGATTTAAGGTTTAATTTTTCATATTTCTTTTATTTACCTAGAGTGTACTTGGGTATAGTATGAAATGAATATATAAATAAAACTTTTCCAAATAGCAAATCCATTATTCTCCCATATTGTATTAAATACTCCTCTCTTCCCCCCCACCCACCCCAATTTGTATTACCTCCTCCTTTAGAAGTGGACCTGCTTAGCTATAGGTTAGTACTCTAACACCATCTGGTTTTGATTAAATTATAATATATTATGTGATAGGATATTCCCTTTTAAAAAAAAATTTCTTGGCCAAAATTTTTTAAAATGACAGAAGAAGGATTCTATAAAGATCTTAAAATAGAGTATGTAACCAATGCAGTTCCAAACATATTTGAATGGATCAAAATCTATAGACTAATATTTGATTATTACAAAGTTATACTTTATTTTTTTTTTTATACATGGTCTGACTCTGTCACCTGGCCAGAGTGCAATGGTGTCGTCATTGCTCACTAGAGCTTTGAACTCCTGGGCTCAAGTGAGCCTCACTGCCCATTATTTTTCTCAAGTACATTCTTTTCTTTTTTGCCTGTGTCTGCTTGCTAGGGAATTAAATACACTCTTGATGTTATCTTTCTCTTATTCCTAATCGGGGAATAAAGCCGTAAAATTTTATGTTTCATTCTGGATTTACCCTATAAAAGTTGCATTTTTTTTCTCTTCTCATTACCTATCGAGAAAAATATGCACAGATGTTCATAAGGGGGATAAACAAGGATGATCACTGTAGAATTGTTTATTATAAGATTGAAAACATAGGAATAACGTTAACGCCCACCCATAAGAGACGGGTTTGTTTAACGGTTCCCATAAGAGAACCGTTAAACAAACTACTGCCCATCCACCCACCCTATGTAATACTCTGTGCAGTTGAAAAGACAAAAGGAGGAAGATCTCCAACATCCCAAGTTGGGTAAGAAAAAAAAAAAAATCAAGTTTTAGCACCATTAATATCCCATTCATACCCAAAAAGTGCCCCCATATCTGTATTTTTAAGGGTCTCTGTATATGTGTAAAGGCCTCGTTACAGTCTGGAGGAATCTTTACTGTTAGCATGGTTGTCTCCAGGGAAGGGTCTGGAACTCGGCGGTTTTTGTAAGCTGCGCTTTTAAGAGTCACGCTCTGTGCAGGGCCCGCGTTTCTCTTGCCTTTGGCTTGGTGCCGTAGCACCTTGCTGTTCCTTTGGAACACGCTCAGCACAAGCTTGTCGCCCTACAGAGAGCGCACCTGGGCCAGTAGCACGACATGGCATTGGGCTTCCAGGGACGTGTGCTATGGGACTAAGTCCTCACGCCACAGGGATCACAAAGACTTAGCTTTTCTTACCTAAAATGGCAACAGCAATGTTCGGGGCGGTGGGTGGGAGGGGTTTGACCAGGGATGAATAGTGACTCGGAGCTCGGTCACTAGTGGAATCTAGGCTTTCCGGCTACAAGTCATCACGACTTTGGGCCAGGAAGGTTCCCAGCAGCGGGCTCTGTCGTGTGAAAAGCAATGCTAAGGCTCTGGGACATCAAACGCAGACAGTGCAGGGTTTGTTCATGGCTATGGAAGGAAGCAGTTAATTTTTGCAGGGCAGAAAGCTCCCTAGCCTGGCTGCATGGTCTTCCCTGTGTTCTAGTGTGGGGGAAACCATTTTATTGAGCATTTGCTGTATACCAGGCACTGTGCTAGGAGTTCTGGACACTTTCTCTTATTAAAGTCTGACCTTCAACCCATAGGGGAGGTTGTCCTATTTTCCCTGTTTATAGATTATAAAAACGAAGCTCAGAAAGCCGGACTCACTTGCCTAAGGCCCTGTGACAAGTAATGGAATTTGAGCTTGAACTTGAAATCAGACCATCTGTCTTAAAAGGTGGTGGTCCAGGCTGGGCATGGTGGCTCACGCCTGTAATCCTAGCACTCTGGGAGGCCGAGGCAGGCGGATTGCTTGAGGTCAGGAGTTTGAAACCAGCCTGAGCAAGAGCGAGACCCCATCTCTACTAAAAATAGAAAGAAATTAACTGTCCAACTTATATATAGAAGAAATTAGCCGGGCATGGTGGCACATGCCTGTAGTTGCAGCTACTTGGGAAGCTGAGGCAGCAGGATCGCTTGAGCCCAGGAGTTTGAGGTTGCTGTGAGCTAGGCTGATGCCACGGCACTCACTCTAGCCTGAGCAATAAAGCGAGACTCTGTCTCAAAAAAAAAAAAAAGGTGGTAGTCCCATGCTTGTACCTCCATGGCAGCCTGACTCTTTTACCTACAGGAACAGGCAAAATAAGGAGATTTAATCTGCAAAGCAGGGGCTGACTTCAGTGGCCCTGGGCTGCACGTTGAGAGCACTCTCCTTACGGGACAGCCATCTCCCAACTGCTCTCAAGAAAAACACGGGCAAACTACATATTACGACAGTTGCCCGGGACATAGTGGTTTTAGTTACCAAAAAAAAAAAAAAATCAAACTAAAAAGCTCCATTCCAGATGACTGCCTTCTTATCCGCTTCCATAATCCCACTTGCCTGCAGTCTGGGCATTCAATTTAAAATGAATTAAGGAGGCAACTTCAGAAGGACGTCAGCCCCTGCTTTGAAAAATCCACAGTTGATGAACGTCGAATTCCGTCTGCGAGACGGTGACTTTTTGACTTGTAAGCTTCATACATCCGCTGTGGCCAGAGTCGCCGCTGGGCCGTGTCCGCATCTGCGGGGAGGGTGGTGTGCCCAGGGCTCCGAGTGCAGCCTGTGCAACCTCAGGAGCTGGCCCCCGGTGACCCCAAGTCATGCCCTCTGATGAACCTGAACCAGGGAGCCCCGCCCACTGCCAGACTTCACCGACCAGTGGGAATGCCAGGCCTTATCCATTTTTTTTTTTAACAATGGTTCTTTTTATCGTAGTAAAATACAAATAACATAAAACTTTACCATCTTAACCAATTTTTTTTTTTTTGAGACAGGGTCCCACAGTCGCCCAGGCTGCAGCGACACAATCACAACTCACTGCAGCTCAAAATCCTGGGCTCCTGTGATCCTCCCATCTCAGCCTCCCCGAGTAGCTAGGACTACAGGCATGCATTAGCCACCCCCCATGGCTGATGTTTTTAAATTATTTTTTGTAGAGACAGATCTCGCTATGTTGCCCAGGCTGGTCTCGAACTCCCGGGCTCAAGTGATCTTCCCGCCTCCCAAAGTGCTGGCATTACAGATGTGAGCCACCATGCCCGGCCCACAGTAACCACTTGTAAGTTACGCACTTGTCACCACCATGCAGCTTTCCGGCCTTATCTCTGACTCTCTGAGCATTTCCACCCCACTCCCGTTCCTGCTGTCATCTGCTCAGCTTCTGCCCTGACAGATCGCCTTCCGCCTCTCCAAATGATCGTTTGTTTCTGTGCGGAGGTGCCGTGTTTGTGAGCTCGGCCTGCAGCGTGGCCTGGCTGGGGCTCCCTGCTCAGAGGGGTCAGGAGCTGCCTCCTGGGCCAGCTCCTCAAGCCACCTGCTCCCCGGGGCCCTGCGTCCCACCCTCCCATCCGTGTCAGGAGACGCTTTGGTCCTGGATTAGAACCCAGCCGGCGCCTCCTTGGAAACCTTGTGTCCTCGAGTTAAGTCGACCAAACCTCAAGGAGCCTGTCTTCTCCTCCAAAAATAGGGCCTCCAATGTCTGTTATGGTGGTTGTGACAATTTTTTTAAAAAGGCTTTTAAGGGCCTGGCCCTTGGAAGGCCGTGTTCGATGTTGACTGTTTTGCTCTGCTGTAGAAGACAATGACCTGCCATCCCCCACCGCAGTCCCCTCTCTTCCCACTTCCTCCTTCCCAGACATCTCCCCCTCCCCCACCCCTTCCCTTGCGGCCTGCAGCAGGACCCCAGGAAGTCTGTCATCTCGGGATGTGGCCCAAAGTAGTCTGAACCCCAACAAGCTTCCCTTCGGCCGAGGCCGGCAGCAAAGGCCCACTTAGATGTTGCGTCTCATAGCACGAAACGTGCAGAAAGGGACGTCCCCGAGTGCCCAGTTCCAGCCCACCCGGGGGAGCCTGGAGCCTTCTCTGCTCAGGAGGACACAGTCTTATTCTGATACGTGCTCAGTGTTTAACGTGCAAGCATAGGACATCTTTTCCATTTCTCCCCCCCCATAGTGAGTGAGACAAGACAGACCATGCTTTGAGAGATTTGGAGAATAAATTACTTACTTTTAAAAGTCAGTTGGGGGGACACAACCATCTGGATAAGGCGTCTTCAAACTACGGCCCTCGGGCCACATGCGGGTGTTTTTGCCTGTTTGTTTCTTTACTTCAAAATAAGATGTTGCAGTGTGCATAGGAATTTGTTCATAGTTTTTTTAAAACTATAGCCCGGCCCTCCAACGGTCTGAGAGACAGTGAACTGGCCCCCTGTTTAAAAAATTTGAGGACCCCTGATCTGCATGCGTTGAGAGGCTCAGAACCCAGGAGAGAAGCCAGGGAGACAAAACCAGATTGGGAGGACCTTCCACAGGCTCCCGTGTGCCCACCATCTGCAAGCGTAATCTTCTAGAAGGAAAGGATCTCTGGGTGACGCTCCCCTGCTTTGGGGACACACGCCGGTACACTTGCATTCGGTCACCTCTTCTCAACCTTCAGAGGCAGCTGGAGGTCACCAGGGCATAGGTGGTCCTTGCTCAGCCTTGTTGCCCTGACATCGTTACTTTTTCACAAGCGCCTGAATTACAGCCACACTGAACTGGTCGATTCCCTGAACCTGTCCCCAAGCATCGCCTGTGTCTTTATCTCTGATGCCACCTGCCTACGTGGGACCCTCTCCAAGGCCAATGGGATGCCACCTTCTTCACAAAGCCATTCCTGGACCCCTCGAATGCACATAACCCCCCACCCCCACCTCTTGTCTTGGTGGTGCTTAGAACCTCCCTTTTGCATTTATTTTGCAGAGGCAAGAAATTAACACCAGTTGTGCTATATGTTGTTATAAGGTCCAGGGGCGGGTTTTCCTCCGGGACGTGCATCAGTCATTTATATCCTGGATTTTTGCTTTCTGCACCAGGGTGAGCGCTACGAAGGCAGCATCTGTGTTTGACTCCCCCACCCAGGCTCCACGCCTGGAACAGGGTGAGTACCCAGTGCACGGTAGTCTGTTATGCTTCGCGGGTCCGTACTGCCACTGTGAGCACACGGCCTTGCACACAACCTCCTTGGCCCCGTGTGTCTTTGCAAATAGCTATAAGGACACCTGAACTCAGCACTGCGCCCTGCCCCTCTGTCCACCCGTGGAATGGGTTTCTCTTTGCAGTGAAACCAGGGGCAAGCAGATTTTCCTTTTTTTGGTGGATTCATGAAATGCCAGGTTTGCTGTGGGAATCACTTGGGAGCTCAGTTTTGTGCCTTGAAGGAGACGGGTCACAGATGCTATAGAATTGCCAGGACCTCGATTTCGGCTTTAAGACCGCCTGCTCTCATTAGAGTAGGCCAGGCCACCTTCTAAGCGAAGCTCTGGGTTTGTGGGACCCTTCCCCGTCTCCCGGCAAGCTGTAGCTGAGACTAAGAGCTGGCCAGTCCCCATTTCCCATTCTGTGTTAAGCCACCGTGCGGCGTGGTTTAGGACCCAGCGAGCGTCGCGCTGGTAGGCTGCCGCCACTTCCCAGCAGAATCGAGCTTGTCACATTCTTCTGTGGTGTTTTGGGAGATTCTGCGCCCGTGGGCTGGAGGAGAAATCCTAGAATGCCTTCCGAAGAGGATGTGCGTTGCCAAAACAGAATTTATAACTGCGTTGCCATGGCAACCAACATGTCACGTTTCCCTCGGCCTAAGAATATCTGAAGCTGAAGATGCTGAGAATAGCCTAAGTGGAACGGCCGGCGTGCTCCAGCCCCGTGGGGCAGGGGCTAAACCCACGCTCTGGCTCCTAATCCGCTGCCTTTCCGTGGATCTCTGCAAATCCCTGACTCCTACTCTGAATGTCACCGTGGGGACATGGGCTTCCGACCCGGAGCATCCTTCTCTTTTCCTCCCATCCGAGTCACTAGCCGGGCCCGACCCTGCTTAGCTTCCAAGGTTAGAGGAGATCAGGTGTGTTTGGGGGTGCCCGGGCCATGGACCCCTTTCCTTCTGTGGTGTACGCAAGTGCAGGTGAGACTCTCCAAAACACGTGGTCGACTTGGGTCTCAGGAGTATGGGGGACAGTGAAAGAATGGAAGGAACGTGGTTAGAGCTTCTCAACAAAGACGTGCAGTCCCGTAAAGCGAGAATGGCGTGTGGCAGTGGTGAGCAGCCCTCGGTGACACTGAGCACAGCTGTAGATGGTGGATTTAGCATGAAGTTCCAGAAGCTTCTGTGTGCTGAAGGTGAGAGAGCCACCACTATCCTTCAGGGGTGAAGGCAGAGATGTCCTGAATGAACCATGGGGTCCCGGGAGAGCCCAACTCGGGGCAGAAACTGTGGATCATGGTGGGCTGCTCTTGGCAAGCAGGTGGAGGGACGGGGGGAGTCCACAAAGAGGTGCCGAGACATCCAGCCCACGGGACGGCTATTCAGGTCCCCAAACGGGGTGTCCACTTGGCCTCTTAGGTTGCCTATTGGATATCAAAGGCCAATCATAGTCAAAAAATAATCAAGATCTCCTTTTCCCTCCTTAAAATCCTTTGTGGCCCACTTTTCATCAAGAATACGTTCAAAACTCAGACCCACTGAGTCACTTTGTGAGGGGCTGTAGGGAGCCTCTCACCCAGTGAGGGCAAAGCTCTGCGACTCCTCCAGCCCGTCCGTCTGCTGCCCCCCGAATCCCAGGGCAGGATGTTCTGACCACACCCGGCATCTGCTCCTCTTTCCTTCCTTCCTTATTTGTATTTCAGCATATTATGGAGGTACGAGTGTGTAGGTTACGTATGTCGCCTTAGCCCCACCTGAGTCAGAGCTTCAAGAATGTCCATACCCCAGACAGTGAACACTGTACCCATTATGTGTGAGTAAACCCATCCCCTCCTCCCTCTCCCACCTGCCCAACACCCGATGAATGTTATTCCTATATGTGTACATACGTGTTGATCAGTGAATACCAATTTGATGGTGAGTACATGTGGTGCTTGTTTTTCCATTCTTGTGATGCTTAGTAGAAGGGGCTCCAGCTCTATCCAGGATAATATAAGAGGTGCAGTTCACCATTATTTTTTGTGGCTGAGTACAGAACTCCGTGGTATACATATAGCACATTTTATTAATCCACTCATGTATTGATGGACACTTGGGTTGTTTCTATATCTTTGCAATTGTGAATTGTGCTGCTATAAACATTCTAGTGCAGATGTCTTTTTTATAGAATGTCCTTTGTTCTTTTGGGTAGATGCCCAGTAATAGGATTGCTGGATCCAATGGTAGTTCTACTTTTAGCTCTTTGAGTTATTTCCATCCAACTTTCCATAGAGGTTGTACTAGTTTGCAGTCCCCCCAGCAAGGTAGGAGTGTTCCTATCTCTTTCACATCCACGCCAACATTTGTTGCGTTGGGATTTTTTGATAAAGAGCATTCTCAGTGGAGATAAGTGATACCTCATTGTGGTTTTGATTTTGCATTTCCCTGATGATTAGAGATCTTGAGCATTTTATCATAGGTTTGTTGGCCATTAGTCTGCCTATTTTTGAAAAGTTTCCGTTCATATCCTTTGCTCACTATTTGATCTTCTCTTGCTGATTTTTCCCAAGTTCTATATAGAGTCTAGTTACCAACCCTTGCAGACACGGCACCTCCTTTTTTTTTTTTACCCTAAAGCACAACTGCCTGTCCCCAAGGTCTCTGTATCTTATTACAAGATGTAACTTGCATGGGTTTCACTCTGGTGTCTGAAGCCACACAGATTCAGTCCATTTCCTCTTTGACAGGGTGGCATGCCACAGCCTCGAACACAGCCATCGCGTCTTCTCTGTCCCAGGGTGGATGTCGCTGGCTCCTTTCTTTCATTACATTCTTCCAGACCCCTCCTGGTCTGACTCCACCTCTCACAAAATTCTCCTAACCATCCTGTTGTGATGCCCAGGGCTGAGCACTGTATAGTAAGGCATGGTCTGACCAGGGCTGTTACAGCTCAGATTTTTTTATATGAGGCAGAGGAAGAAGAGCTGGGGACTTGCATGTGGGCAGCTCACCAGCGGGGACAGGTCTTCCTGGACCACAGAGGTGGCATCTGTAGGGTAGAGGGGTATTTGAGGAGCCATGCTCAATAGAAGAGGTTGGACAGGAGCAGAGAAGGACAGCTGGCTACCTGCCAACCTCAGCTGGAGCAGAGGACCGTGGTCCCAACCTGGAGAGAGCCTAGGATGCTGGGTAGTGTGATGGACAGTCACGGGGACAATGAGAAGCAGAAACCAAAGCGAGAGCATCAATCTATGGTGTGCCCTGGGAAACACAGGTGGGGTGTGAAGACTGGCAATTTAATGATAACAGGCTGGTTGTGATCAACTCCTCGGCCGGAGAAACTGGAGGGGAGACTGTGTGTATAAGCCAATTATATATTTCTCAGGTCGGCCAAGAACTATGGCTATGCTGAATCTAAGGATGGTAGCCAATGGTGGGCTTAGCTGTGAGGACCCAGAGACAATGGGCAGGGCTGGCATGATGCCCACGCCGGGGTGCCTTGTTTAGGATGTATTGGGTTTGTGTCCTGGGAGCATTATGCTCAAAGAATGGAATGGAATGGAGTCTCCTAGAATTCTGCATTTATCCATACTAAGAGGGCCAACTTTCCTTGTTGCTGGGTCATGTAAGCTACAAAAGGGCTCTTTTTGACCTAAAGATCTGTTCCAGAAATGATTATGACCACTACATAAATAAAGAATAATGTAGCAGATTAGGAATAAATCCTCTGATTCATGTCCCAAAATACTCCAAGGGGATCGCATCTCATTTCGCAATGACTACGATGAACCTATTTAGGCTACTGTGAGCCACATTAGAGTCCCATGGGCCCTGCTGGAATGATCTGGAACAGAAACTTCTATCGATTTCAAGGAACTGCAGTCTGCATTTCAAAAGCACTAACAAGATGTGTAGGTTCTATCCATCTCAAACTGTACACATGATCCGGAAAAAGAACTGCAGTGGACAGAGGACTGCAGAAGCCCCCTAGGCCTGTAAGAAATGAAACACGGCCAAGTCTAAGTAGTTAACCTAATTTTCTTCTAACCCCCAGGCATGCTGGGGCATATGGGAGTTGTCAAGGAATGCAGGTGCCCACACCCAGAGCCTCGGCGTGTTACGACACAGCTGAGCAAACAGGATAGCAGTGCTGTTCAAATAAGACTTAACAGAGACATCCTCAGGGTTTGGAGGAGGTGGTTATGGCAAGCGTGGCCCAAGACAGAGGAGCTGGGTCAGCCAGTCCCACGGAAAGCCACTTGCAACTCTTGCCCACACCAAGCCCAAATCTTGTTATCCCTTGGAAAGCCCACATTTGGGGAAGAAAAAGTTCAAAAAGCCCCAGGCACGAGAGAGGAAACTACAACAACAACAACAACAAAAAAAATACAACAAAAGGAAAGAAAAAGAAAGCACAATCTTTGGTGAAATTTCCCTCCAGCCCCTTTCAGGAACGACAACATTGTCATCCTCGGGAGGAGACACCAGCGGAGTTGAAGAGTGAACCAATACCAGTTCATTAGTAGCGATCCATCTTCTTGTCCCTTGGCTGGGCCATACTTAGCCACCAAACAAAGTGCTCTCTTCAACGTAAGAGGTTCAATAATCTCCATAACCTCCTTCTGGAACTCCCTTTAGACGTGTATATATTTAACAGCAACTGGCTGAGTTGTTAACTTCCATCCAAGTCAACTGATCTGCCTCCCTGCAGGAAGTGACTTCGTACACAGCAGCCCCTGGTGGAGCAGAATGTGAAGTACCTGGGTGTTCTGTTCTCTGACCACCCTTCCACCCCGCTAGCAGCCATGGTGAAGGGCCAGTCCTCCTGCAGAACCAGTTCTGACGTGGCAAGGAGGACTCGCAGTCCCTAACATCCAAAGTGAGAGGGGCGAGCAGGTCTCTGTCACAGGATGACACCGTTAAAGCTGTCCCCCTGACACGTGCCCAGAGGGAGGGAGAGCTGCTGCTATGGTTTCCATATTCGACTCCCCCAAACCTCATGTTGACATTTGATCCCCAACGGTGGGGCCTAGTAGGAAGGGTGTTTGGGTCATGGGGGAAGATCCCACATGAATAGATTAATGTTCTCTCTGGGGTAGGGGAGTGAGTTCTTTGTCACCAGCTTTCTGGTGAGGGCTGGTTCAAAAGAGCCTGGCCCTCCTTCCCCTCTCACCATGGGGTCTCTGCACACGCTGGCTCCCCTTCCCCCTTTCCCATGAGTGGAAGCAGCTCGAGGCCCTCACCAGATGGAGATGTTAGCCCCATGCTTCTTGTATGGCCTGCAGAACTATCAGTCAAATAAACCTTTTCTGTATAAATCAGGCTCAAATATTCCTTTATATCCACACAAACAGACTGAGTCAGCAGCCTTGGAGGTACCTGGTTGACCTTAACTAGAGATGAATCATGCATAGGTGTTAGATTTTGTCAGAAGTTTGTTGTTTTTTTTTTTTTTTTTTTGCATCTATTGATATGATCATGTGATTTTTCTTCTTTAGTCTGTTGATAGGATGAATGTTAATTCATGTATAAGCTCCATTGATTTTTGAATTGGTTTTTGAATTATATATCATTCAGTCATGATATATAATTCTTTTTATATGGTGTTGGATTTGATTTGCAAAATGGTATTGTATTGAAGGTTTCTTTTTTTAATCTGTGTTCATGAGAGACATTGGTCCATAGTTTGGTTTTCTTGTCCTGTCTTTGGTTTCATGACTAGGGGAATGCTGGCCTTAAGGAATCAGTTAGAAGTATCGCTTCTGCTTCTATCTAGGCCTGGTACTTATTGATTATTGGTTCCTTTAATAGTTATAGTCCTTTTCATATCATATTCTCATGTGAGTTTTGGCAAATTGTGCCTTTTCAGGAATTGGTCCATTTCATTGAGGTTATCAAATTTGTAGCCATAGAATCGTTCATAATATCCCTTTATCCTTTTAATGTGCATGAGATCTACATTGATGTTCTCTTTCATTTTTGATATTAGTAGTTTGTATCCT